ACAAGCGAAATGGTGTCTTCTCCCCTCTCCCCCCACAGGAGAGAGAGATCTCAGAGAGAGAAGAGAGAGAGAGAGAGAGAGAGAGAGAGAGAGAGAGAGAGAGAGAGGGTGCTGATGGGAGAGAGAGAGAACGTCACGGACATGACAAAAGAGCCAAGGAATCGATCCCCCCTCCCCCTTTTTTATCCAAAGTTTCTTTATGCATTTTTTAAACTTGTTTTTTTTTTTCTCTTTTTTTCAATCATGCAGGATTTCCAAGGGATTTATTTTCTGTTCAAACAAAGCTGGGCAGTGCAACAGAAGATTCAAACTCCAATGTTTCCAATGAGAAGCAGAAGACGAAGCCGTAGAAGAAGAAAGAGTGAGGAGCTTTTCATTTTTTTCTCTCCTATTATTATTTTGTTTGTGATTCTTCTTTCTTGCGTTTGGGGGTCTGAAGTGCAGGGTGGGCTTTCTTGTTTTAGTTCAGGTGAGTTCATCTCCGCCCATCTCCAACTCCACCCACAACTTACCCGCATGGGCCAACGCCTCCCCCTCACTGGGATAATTATTAACAGTAAACACAGATGATAAAACTCATCGATATTACCCAGCATCTGGACTGATTTTTGCAATAAACGAATCTCAAGTCAAGTTCTGTGAAATAAAAAGTGATCCACCTTTTTCTTTCTTTTTTTTAAACGAGTGCTAAAGAGTTCCTAGCGTCTCATTTCCGGAGGGACTGCGTGAAATGTCCTGGGGAAAAAAAGTTCAGACATTCCTCCTCCTTATCAAAACATTTTTATATTCTTCAGAAAAAGGCTAAGAACAGGATTTCGTATTCATAAGTCTTCATATTCACTGTCAGCTTTCAGGGAAACACACGGCAGCAGAGGAATCGGAAAAGAAACGAGAAATAGAAAGAAATGAATCATGCCTTGATCTCCCCTGTGAACATTCAGAGCACTGCCTAGTGTTTCCCCGGACAGAGTGGCCAATCCAATGAGAGTATCGCTTCACCGTGAGAGCGCGGCAGGACTCACCCCTCCCCGTCCCAGAGGCTAGCACCAGTCATCCTCATCAGTCTCACTGTAGGGTTCGTGGAGGCCCTTCCTGGGCCCTCTGGGATGAGGAGGCTTATGAGTTCCCGGGTGGGCGGGGGTGTGGTGGTGGGGAGTGGGCGAGGACGAACGGTAGCCGTTTGGCACGCGCCGTGGATGTGGCTGGCCCTGAGGGGGGGTGCTGTGGCGGGAAGTCCTGGGGGAATGTGGGTGAGGGTTGCCCTGCACAGGGCTTTGCTCGTAGGATGGAGGCTCGTGGTGATTGAACTCGTAGTCTTGGTCGTCGTAGAAACCGTCGCCCTCCACACTCTCCGTGGGGCCAGGGCCCCAGTGCGCATGACGGGCCGAGCGAGGAGAGCCATGGTGGGGAGGGGGAAGCGGGGGCTCGGGGCCGGGCGGACTGAACCGATGGGAGGTCGGAGCGGGGAGTCGGTTCTGCTGGCCCGGAGGGGGGGTGCCGCCAATGGGCTTACGGACCACGGGAGAGTAGGTGACGTGGGGTCGGGGCGTGGCGGGGGTTTGGGGGAGCTGACGCCGGCCGCGGCGGGGCGGGCTGGTCCCAGTGCGCATGACGGGCCGAGCGAGGAGAGCCATGGTGGGGAGGGGGAAGCGGGGGCTCGGGGCCGGGCGGACTGAACCGATGGGAGGTCGGAGCGGGGAGTCGGTTCTGCTGGCCCGGAGGGGGGGTGCCGCCAATGGGCTTACGGACCACGGGAGAGTAGGTGACGTGGGGTCGGGGCGTGGCGGGGGTTTGGGGAAGCTGACGCCGGCCGCGGCGGGGCGTGCTGGTCCCAGAGGTGGAGGGGACTGGACTGCCGCTTACTGAACTACTGCCCTACATGAAAATGGAACAAGGCAAATAAAACAGAACCACAAAATTAACCACACAACAAGAAGAAGGACAGTAGGAGATGGCACATACACCGCAGTCAGAGAGGAAAGAGCGCAGTCACGAGAGAGAGAGATACAAGAATGAGAGACATTGCAAAGCAGCAAGATGCAAACAACCATAAAATAAACGACCAAACGTAAAGCAACATATCACAGGGAAAAGAGAGGACACAAGAAAGAAAAGAACAACAAAAATAATTGAATTCTGTTGCAAGTGTGAAAGTAACTTGTTTAATTTTGGTCTTGACAAAACTAGGCTGGGTCAATACAAATTAAACTGAAAAAGAATTCATTCAGACTGGTCACATTATTGTTGGTCCTGACTATCACAATATTGTTGGAAATAACATTGTCACAATATAAATATATAGCATAAAATGACTGGGACAGATATAAAATGTTGATTCTTGAAGTTAATCATCATGTTTTAATACAAGAAACAGATGGGTTCTCTGCACAAATCATTTCACTAAATCAGTATTTAGTCGTGTTTTTCAGTAAAAATACCAAAACATTCTTAAAACAAGATTTACTCGAGAAGCAACAACAACAACAACAACAAAAAAATCATACTGACCCCAAACGTTTGAACGGTAGAGTATATGTAAAATATAGAATTAAAATATAGTTTAATTCTTAATTAATTCAAGTTCATAAAGTTTTAAATAAAGTTTAATAGTTTTTTTCTTGTCTTTTCTAACAATGTTTATTCTTAAAACAAAATAAAAAAACTATTTGCTAATGAGTTAGGAACATTAAACCCAATTAAATTAAGATTGTATGATTAATGTTTTAAATAACGTGGCTTCTCAAGTAAATTCTATTTTTTAAATGGATGTTTGGATAATTTTACCCCTAGTAAAAAAAAAAATGCCATAATTTATTTCAAATACATTTATTTCATACTGCAAATCTATTAACATATTTATTAACATAGTATCACTTGATGCTTACTGATATTAAATTATAGGCCTAATTAAACTTTATTTGGAGTATTTCTTTATTGCACAATGCACATTTCTTAATATTAAGCCTAAAATGTGTTTTAAGGATTGTGTGATCTCTGTATAATATCAGTCTTTAAATGCAAGATATTTAAAGTGTATCTTAAGTTTACTTGCAATAGTTCCACTTTAGCACAATCAGATATACTTCAATATATCTTTAGTTGGACCTCAGCACTACTTCTTCACAATTAAACTGCATAATAAGCACAAAATTAGTTGTTCCAATTTAGCAGACTTTAAGTATACCAGATTAGTATACCAAAAGTACAATTGCAGGGTATTTTATTAAGCACATACATGTGTACATTTATTTGTAGTATACTTAGCACAAAATAAATGTACTTCAAATACATTTTAGTATACAGTAGTCAACATTTGGAGTGGATCAACACCTTTCATCAAAGTTGTCCTAAAACCAAAACGCGTTCTTGTCTTAGGACAACTTTGATTAACTTGATTAACTACTGTATTTCTGTCAGGACCACTATCGCCAAAGATGATTGACAATTAGCATACAGTTTGGACTGGCGGTATGGTTCTGTTCTGGGCAAGAACTTCCTGCGCAGCCATGCAGCCTAGCATGGATGAGAGCAGGGAGAGCAGTGATAACCCCCCCCAGGGTAAACAGAACAGAACCAACATAAATGTATTGTAGATATCGTTAAAGTTCAATAATTTTATGTACACATTTTAGAATTTGTCTTATTCAAAGGAGAATCAGAAGGCTGAATCCTGACTGACAGAGGAGGAGTTGGGGATGGAGGAGGATAATTAGCTATTGAGCAATGCAAAAACTGCTGATAATACTGAGGGACCTTATATATGAATGCTTAGATAGGTGTCGTATTATGACCTGCCAGAACTAACGCTACGCTTGATATATTTTTTCTTTTCACTAGGGACCGAACAACAGTGAAAGCAAATGACTGATTACAGGAATTACAGGAAATTATTTTTTTCAGTGCTGCAGAAATGTTCAACTGTAATGTGTCTCTATGTGCATTATGAGCACATGCTCACATGTTATGAATGAATCGCCCACCTGTCTGTGAGTCAGGCACTCTCTGCCCTCACTTGGTGAGCGGGACCAGCGGCGGTCTCTCTCTCCAGACCCTCTGTGGCCGTAGTCCCCTCGTTCTCTCTCGTGTCCGTAGTGCTCCTTATCTAGAGAACCGTGATGGTGATGGTGATGATGGTGGTGCTTGCGGTCTTTGGCCCGGCCCCGGTCCCTCTCCTTGGATGGCAGGTCTCCTGACTGTGTGGTGGTGCTGAGGTCAGTGCCAAGACCTGCTAGGCCACAGCCAGAGAGAGGAAAAAGGGCATTACTATTAGCTCTCCTTCTAATAGTAAGAGAAAATGCCATCAGTACCATTATTTTATATGCGTTTGTCTCTGACCTGTGTCAGCATCAGTGTAGCGGCTCAGGGAGCGTTCTGACGCACGGTGACTGCGGTCTCGGTGGCGATGCCCATGTCTGTGACCCTCTTCTGGTATAACCCTGTCCATGGTATAGTCCTCACCCCGCATTGAACGGCCTTGACGCCCATGGCCCAAAGATGAAGCTGAACGCTTCATCGGACTGTTATCGGTGATGGTCTGCTGAGAGAGCCGGCACAGGAGAGACGGAGAGAAAGAGGTAGGGAGAGAAAAGAAAAGAGAGCGAAGGAAGACAGAGGATTCTGTTTATTGGAAATTAATGGGTCTGGAAGATTTGAGAAGGGAACTTCATTTCCGTAGTATTTCGTAACAGCAGGCAGATGGTCGTATGGATGTACGGCCCTGTTTACATCTGGTATTAACATCCGTCTTGGGTGAGTGGGAAGGTCTCTGATTTTGTGACTATATACACATCACTTGCATTACTGTTCAAATGTTTGGGGTCAGTAACAGTTTCGAAAAAAGAAAAAAAGGAAGAAATATTTCTTGAGCAGTAAATCAGCATATTGGCATGATTTATGATCATGTGACACTGAATACTGGAGTAATGATGCTGAAAATTCAGCTTTGCATCACAGGAATGAATTGCAGTTTTAAAGTGTATTAAAAAAGAAAGCAATCATTTTACACTGTAATAATATTTCACAATACTACTATTTTAACTACAATTTGATCAAATAAATGGAGCCTTGGTGAGCAGAACAGACTCCTTTCAAAAAAATCTTAAACTTATATAATCCAAAATGTATATTTACGTCTCTCTAAAACAAATCTGATAAGCATGTTTAGATATTTAACTGGAAAACTAGAGAAGCACCATGCTTACATCTGTATCTAGTACTGACAATTTGTGCCCAATCATATGTTAATACCAGGTGTAAATGGTGCCTATGATGACTTAAAACTTGTTTATTTCTGTAGGTCTGGGAGTTGGTGTGGTTTGCTTGTGTATGATCCGAGTAGAAGAGAAAGTATGTAAAAAAAAAAAGAGAGAAGTTGCAAAAGTTCGTGCCTTGCATGCATCAAGGACTGAATCAGTAAAAAAATACTCATACACATTTGAGAGAAGCACATTTCTTCAGCAGACCTCTCTCTTCATCACTCACAGTCATGCACACCACAGAGAGAGCAGAGAGAGAGGCCTGTCCAGACTTTCAGAGAGGATCTGTGGGTCAGCACCAGATAAATGGTCCAGGAAGAGGGACGTGCAGTGTGGGGTGGTTTGCAGTGGCTCAAGCCCTGGACCCTTTCCACTCATCGGACCTTGTGTGATCTTAATGATCTCATTAGAGCCTGTCCTTCTCATAAAAGTGTGAATTCGACTGTTTTCACTATCAACACTGACACCTAGAGGCATGGATGCACCATTGCATACAATCAAGGGTTTTCAGTTATTGACTCGTCTGTAAAAAAGACATGGAAGTAAGCTATTTTCTCACCCACTTCCATTACAGTAGGTTTTTTATTATTATTTACAATGATTAGATTTCTTAAATTTTTTTTTTTGCTGTGGACCAGTAGTTGTTTCTTCATCATTTGTTGCATTCAACAACTATATACCAGTATAGCTGTAGGTGCAACTCAATAACACATTCAAAGTTTCCTTAAAATAAAAAATAATAAAACAACAAATAAAAATATGCCATAGAAACACATGCCCTTTCCCCCCTTCAACCCACTGAACACCAAAAGATCTCTGCACATCTCTGCTCAAAAGCACAGTCACACATAAACACACACACCAGCACAGAAAACGGCACACTCACACTTAAAGACCATGGACACATATGCACACAAAAACATAACATGCACATGAACACACAGCACACAATGAGTGTTGCAAAGCACACAGATAGCAGATATACATTAGGAGGAGGCAGACAAGGAGTTTTGTGTGATTTGATCTGCATACAAATCTGTCTGAAAATATGTCTGTACCATACAGATAATAATAATGCCCCAGTATGCAAATGTTGACTTGAGTAACAAGAAAATTGTGTTAGACTTGATAATTTTGATTCATTAATGCAAATCAATTATAACTGTCTATTACAATGAATAGCTTCAAGACTCTTCACAACTGAGTCAATGATTTGTCTGTCAATACTAAAAATGTTCACAGAAGTCCCTCAGTATATTAAAACGTTTTAGTAAAAATATATCTATAAATATTTAATTTTCTTTTAATTATAGCAATAAACAGAAATATTAAATGAGCCTTCCTTAATTGCTTTCATTCTGTTAAAAAGGATTTTACTGAAATCTTTACTGTATTATGGTTGAAATGTTTCCTCTGAATGAAGAAAAAAAACCGAATAATGTCAAAAGGCCAATAAAACCCATATTGCAATAATGAAGATATTCAGGCACGAGTTATGTGATTTCCAGGGAGACAGAAAGTCAAACAGAGTGATAATGGAAAGAAAGTAATAATGAATGAGAGCGGTTGCACATACAGTGAGATTATCTCCCCGGTGCCGTCCTTTCCTCCGTGGCTGCTGAACAGCCATTTCCATACAAACACAAGACACAACAAATGTCCATACAAATACACACATAGAAAGCACATAGGGCCGCAATTCCACAAGACAAAAGCACATTAACAGTGGGTGACCCCAGGCATGAGAGAGAGAGAGATTGCACTCAAAAAAATAAAAAGTTGGAGATGGAGATTCATACATGAGTAAACGAGGATGGGGTGGACAAAAACGTGAAGAGGGGAGGAAATAGAGAGAGATATAAATAAAGAGAGAAAAGAGAGACACAGAGAACCTGGTTAGACACAGAAGCAGTGGAGACAAAAAAAAGACACTTACCACAGCAGTACACACACTGAGGACCAGAGGCAGTGTTACACGTCACAGTGCACCACACAGAATGATACGGTGAGGAACAGTACAGTGATCACGAGACACAGTGCCCATAGAGAGGTATACTACTACAACACTGCGCACACATACAGTACACGTATAAGCATGAGACCACACCAACAAAACTCTCTTGTACTTGGTTTCAGAAATTTATGTAAATAACTCACACTAGTACATGTTGAGTGTTGTGTAAGTACAACACATACACTACCGTTCAAAAGTTTGGGGTCAGTAAGATTTTTAAAATGTTTTTGAAAGAAATCTCAAATGCTCACCAAGGCTGCATTTATTTGACCAAAACAGTGAAATTAGTACTATTGTGAAATATTATTACAATTTTACTGTTTTCTGTTTCAAATGTAATTTATTCCTGTGATGGCAAAGCTGAATTTTCTGCAGCCATCACTCCAGTCTTCAGTGTCACATGATCCTTCAGAAATCATTCTAATATGCTGATTTGCTGCTCAGTAATCATCATTTATTGTTGGTGCACAATTAATTATAATGGTAATCAGTTCTTATTATTATCAATGTTCAAAACAGTTTTTGCTGTTTTGAAACATTTTTTTTCAGGATTTTTTAATGAATCAAAAGTTTAAATGAACAGCATTTATTTGACATAGAAATGTTTTGTGACAGAAATGTCCTTGCTGTCTTGTTAAATAAAACAATTAAAAAAAACATACATAAAAAAATGTACTGCCCTCAAACCTTTAAACGGTACTGTAATTACATAAACTAACACGCACACAAACACATGCTCACACAAATCTCAGTACCAACTCCCAAGTCACTGCTTGATTCACCTCAAATTTCACTGAGCTTAATGACCCTAAATGAAACACAATTCAAACTTGGCCAAAATATAATAAAAACAAAAATAGAGGGGAAGCATATAAAGTAATACTGGGCTGTAAATACAGAACTTATTTTTTTTATAGTAAAGACAATGTAAAAACACTGAGTAACGTCTTTACTAAGGGAGGAAGTCAGAGTTAGCCAAACTCAAAATAAAAATAAGAATTTAAAGAAAAATAAAGGTAAAGAGAAGGAGAGAAGGAATGACATATTCACAGAAATTCAAGGAGACAGCATGAGAAGAGAGTTTATTCAGAAAAAAAGGAAGCAAACCCAACCCTGTTTTTCTAATCTCTCAGCTCTTCAGCTCCCACAGCATCATGGGATAGCCAAGTGTGCACTTGTTATAGATTTTAGAATCACAGTGGATGCAGGGTCATGTCATGTGGGTATTGTGTTTAATGAATACAAAGCCTCCAGATGTCGTTCGTGTGACATCCTGCTTTTTGTATAATGTGTAGCAGGGAAGTGTGTATATTAGGGTTTGTATGAATGAGGAGGAGGCTACTTGAGGGCCAGTGATGAGAAACATGAAAAAAAACATTTAAATTATACCCTGTAGACCATCTAGACCTGCATCAAATATGCATCATAAGTAATGAGGGTGCATGTTGTAATATGCTAGATATCATGTATCTAGACAATTATAATAAGATAGTGTTTGAATGCAAAAAAATGTATTCTTGAATACATCACATACATTCAAACACATATTCTGATAATTACAAATACTTAAAATGCATATTTATGGCAAGTATGCTGATAAAACTATTAAATACTGACCGATCAAGCTTTGTTTCTTGTGGAGTGCCTCAAGGATCTGTTCTGGGCCCAACATGTGTCTCTGTGTGTCTCTGTGTGTCTCTGTGTGTCTCTGTGTGTCTCTGTGTGTCTCTGTGTGTCTCTGTGTGTCTCTGTGTGTCTCTGTGTGTCTCTGTGTGTCTCTGTGTGTCTCTGTGTGTCTCTGTGTGTCTCTGTGTGTCTCTGTGTGTCTCTGTGTGTCTCTGTGTGTCTCTGTGTGTCTCTGTGTGTCTCTGTGTGTCTCTGTGTGTCTCTGTGTGTCTCTGTGTGTCTCTGTGTGTCTCTGTGTGTCTCTGTGTGTCTCTGTGTGTCTCTGTGTGTCTCTGTGTGTCTCTGTGTGTCTGTGTGTGTGTCTGTGTGTGTGTGTGTGTGTCTCTCTCTCTCTCTCTCTCTCTCTCTCTCTCTCTCTCTCTCTCTCTCTGACTTGTTTGTGTAATTCACCCTCACACTTGCTCATACAGGACATCAATCCATTGCAGATGCTATAATTGGTTTTCTTTGCTTTATCTGGTCAATGGGCACATTTGTTTAATGCAAAGGCAGCAATGGAAAGTGGGTTGGAGGGTCAAGAAAGGAAGGACAGATGTGAAAAGTGGGTTAGAAGAAAAGGAAGGGGGAAAACACGAAGGAATGACAGGATGAGGCGCTCACTTGGTTGTCTGCTGGGAGTCGAGGCATGGAAGCAGCCCTGCCATGGCCTTCCATCGGCAGATAGTGCTCAGTGTCCGAGTACCCGTCCCGCCCCATCTCTCTCATCTCTACTGTCTGCAGAAACAGAGGGAGACCATGCATGACTGCCCAGGGACAGCAGGCAAGAGCGAATGCCAGGGGCCTGAGAGACAGGCCTAAGCACAGTGGATGGAAGGAGGACATCTCCACCTTCATCTCTACCTTCACCCTGTATGGAGATGCAAGAGTAGCAGGACAGTCCTGCCCCAGCCTTTGTTCTATACGTCGCTGCTGTTCGGTTTGCAAAAAGTACATGCATATGCAATACATGCAGGGCTTCAACTGCAGGATCACTGAGAGAAGATCAGGAGATTATGGTATTAGAAACTACTCTCTCTCTCAGATCACAAACAGGATATTCTGTGAACCAGCTTCAAATACATAGACACACATCTCTTGACTCTATGTTTAAGCACTTCTTTTAAAGGTTTAGACATCATTTGCTCACCCTCATATTCCGTATGACTTTTGTTCTTCCGTAGAACACAAAAGGAGGACTTTGAAGAATTTGCTGGTTACTCCTTACTGTGCAATTAAAATAAATGGGGACAGAAGCTTCCAAGCTCCAAAAAAAAAAGATGACAAAGAAGAATTAGGAATGATCTGTGCACTATCATTCAAAATGATCTGATGCCATATAATAACAACTATAAAAAAATACCAAAATATAAGTTGTTATTCATACATTTCTTTTACAAAGAGCTGTTGAATGCTGTGACTGGATCACTGAGTCAATGAGTGAACTGAACACTGATTCAAACAGACTGGTTTTGTAAACTCAATCAACTGATTCAGTCATTCATTCATAAGATCTGACTCAAATAATTTAAACATGAATCAGACATTGCTTTTCTTATGAAAATAGATGTTAAGATTTTCCCAGTAAATAGTGACATGAACCTCAGTCATCTAACTACCATATGCCTTCAAAACATTTAGTGCACAAGTTTTATGCACCATGTGCTTTTTATTTTTTGGTCATTTTGGAGATCAACAACCCCAGTCCTCATTCTCCATCATTATGTTGTAATGACCGCTCAGGATATTCTTCAAAAATTCACTGTATGTTTTATAGAAAAAAGAAAGTCATATTAGCTTTGATTGACATGAGGGTGATTAAATAATGGCATTTTTTTTATTTTAATTTGTTTTAGGGTGAACTACGTCTATGCTCTTGCAATCAAAAAATCTGTTCTCACTGAACAATACTATCTCACTGTTTCTGACTTTCATCTGCTCAGGAAAGCTTGACTTTTTCTAATCAACTTTAGAACTGTGTTTTACAGCTTTTCTTTTGTTACTTCTTATGCTGCCTTCCTCATTGATAAGCTCTGGATGCTGTTCCTGTCATGAATTTAATGAATAGTTGGGCTGGGCAGGAGTGTCTCACCTCCTAACAGTATAATGACACTTAAGACTGCGGAAGGGTTTCAACACCCTTCCCAGACAGTCGAATATGGATGCATATATTCAATGATACATGAGCTTCACTGTACAAAGCAGACATGTGAGAGTAATAAAATAATATAAACAGTAACAGAAGGACACACAGACTGAGGGGAAATATAAGAAAGAGAATAAGAGAGTGTGGAAGATAGTCCACCGAATTCAGTTTTTACTCAGCAACAGAAAAGGGCCTTTGTTGCTGTCTGCCAATGAGATGCACATGGATGAGGGATAGACAGACCAGCCATTCAGGGTTATGAAAACAAACCGCTCCAATGGACACCCTCCACAAAAGACTGTGAATATCGGAGTTGCTGTCTTATAAAGGCAGAGAAAACATTATTGATCCACTGAGACGTCCCATGGTTTGCCACTACATGAATGTTCTGAACTCTAATAACAAATATTATTATGCTGTGAGGGAGTTATATGCTGCTGAAGAATTCATAACTGATGAAATAGTGGTTCTCACATCACTAAAATATTGTTTTCTCATACAGTAGTGTGTGGAAACAATTACACTTGCATTTATTGTTGTACTAATCTGGTAATGTTTGAGGTTAAGTACACAGTTATGCACTACCCAAATTTAATTTTTATAAATTCAAGCATTTACATAAATACCCTCACCAAAAATTGTAAATGAGATAGGGCAGGCTCTGTGTACCTGAGAGTGTCTGCGGTTATCTGCGGGGTCGTCTGGGTGTTGGCCTTCAGGACTCCAGCTTCCTGCTTTCTGAGACATCTCCTGGGCTCGCGCTGTCACCCATGATTGGCTCTCTGGGATCCTTTCATCAACAGGCCTGACAACACACCCACATTTAGTCAGATTACAAGTTCTCTACACTCCATGAAGGGCTTAAGGCTCTGGTTTGTCACTCATTGTGCTTTTTAAATTATCTTTCTCATTTGATGTCCACTAGAGTCAGTCAACGACAAGGAAAATGTTGTACAGTGGCCTGATCTTTATTAACATTTGTTTTTTTTTGTTGTATGTAGAATAAAAAGTGAGCTTTATTTATTTATTTATTTATTTATTAATAGATCACTCATAGTTTTTGTCATTTGGAAATTATAGAAAAGAACAGAATAAAAATGTTTTTCACCAATGCATTTATTTCTATTTGATTTTTTTGTAAATTATAGTTTTTGTCTTTAAGGAATTATATATTTCAAGTTCAAGTTCAGTTTATTTATAAAGCACATTTCAAAACGGCCACAGGCCGACCAAAGTGCTATACAAGTTAGAATAAAAAAAATAAAAAAATGTAAGTACACTAATAGCAGCAAAACAGTTAAAACAGAACACTCTTATAAACTAAAAGCAACAGAGAATAAATACGTTTTGAGACATGACTTGAACTCAGACAAAAGATTAACTTTTAATTTAAAAAAAAGTTAAATTTTTTGTTGTTTTAATCACAATTTTTGTCTTTGGAAAACTATAAAATAAGTTTATAAAATAAATAAAAAATGGGCCTGCATTAATTGTTGTTGTTGTTGTTTGAATTCAATATTTCATTATGTCATATTTATTCATTTGAGTACATTTTACTTTGACTAAAATTAATACTGGTCATTCTTACCCATGATTGGGTTATTTAAAACTCATATTAAATTATTGTCATGATGTATGCATTAATATCAGCTTTGTTACCATTGACAAAATACTAATAAAAATCCCTTTGTTTACATTAGCAATTTCCTTAATAATTTAAATGAAACTATCAACCTTAACACTGGGAGAGAGACTGGGGAGAAGATGGAGAGGGTGCTACTCACAGATGATTTGCAGGGTGCTGTTGTGTTTCAGGAAGGCCAGTGAGTCCCTGTCCCACATCCTGGCTTGGAGACGGCGGCTCCAGACGCTGAAACATTAATGGCGTTCGATTCTGTGTAAGATACAACATGGCCTACAGCTGGTATCAGGCAAGCTGATGGGAAAATGGGGTTGGGGAAAGATATGGGATGCAGAGCATCCCATGTGCGAATGGGGAGGGAATCCAGCAGCGGTCAGTCAGGAGGCATTCCAGGAGCATTATGGGTAAATGAGTTTCCTGTGAGTTGTATTGTCTGAATCTGCCGATGGTACCATGCTGAGAATTCATTTACTTTCATTGTCCCAGTAAATGAAGAGTTTCTGTAACCACCTGGCTGCTAAAGAGTGGTGATAAATCTTGGTGTCATTCAGTAGACAGTAGATTGCTAGCTATGAGCTCATCTGTATGCTATTGTACACCTAAACATAGTCAACATTCACTTTTAGCAGATACGTTTAGAAGATCTTTCAAATGTTTAGGGTCAGTACGATTTTTTTATACTTTCATTCAGCAGGGACATGTTAAATTCATCAAAAGTGTCGGTAAAGACATTTATAATGTTATGAAAAATTTCTATTTCAAATAAATTATGTTCTTTTGAACCTTCTATTCATCAAAAAATCCTGAAAAACAAAAATCATGGTTTCCACAAAAATACAACAGTAATAATAAATGTTTCTTGATGACCAAATCAGCATATTAGAATAATTTCCAAAGGATCATGTGACACTGAAGACTGAAGTAATGATGCTGAAAATGCTTTAATGAAAAAATTACTTATACATAAAATGTATTAAAATGTAAAACAGTCATTTAACATTGTAAATTTGTTTCGCAACATTACTGGTTTTACTTTATTTTTAGGCAAACACATATGAGGCCTCTTTCAAAAACATTTTAAAATCATACTGACTCCAAACATTTAAAATTTAGCATCTGTCTCTTCTGGGAAAACAGATAAAAATATTTTGTCTCATCCTGTATTACATAGATTTTTTTGCCCAATCAAATGCTTTATAGAATGAGAATGTCATCATTACCCCAGATACCAAAATGAGTAGAAAGTCACAAATCATAGCAGTGATGTAATTATCCTATAACCAATAGGTTATTTAATGAAAAATCAACAAGCCCTTTGATTATGTACCACCCAAACCTTCTGTATGTGGATCAGTACGATTACTAATTTTTTTTTAACAACCCCAGAGCTTGTAAAACTGTGACTCTTTAGAGCCATTTTTGTGTGTATTCAACCCATAAAGCAGATAATTGGTACCACCGGTCAAAATGACACCTTGAGATTTGGAAAATGAAGGAAGAAAGAAATAAAAATCAACCTATAGTATTCAGTGAGAAACACAAAATGCATGTAGTATGTAAAGGCAGGTTTCATATAAAAATTTCATGAGAGGAAGTAATAGTTAATAAAAGAATGAGAGCTGATAAAAGAAAAGGAATCATCTGTGAACAACATGCACTGATTGAGTTTGTTTACTTAACACTGTCTAATGGATGAGTTAGGAGACAAGCTTAGCAAATTCAATGGTATCTGCCAAAACTGCTACATCCACTTGAAACATCATGGTTACCACTAAGATTGTACAGGCCAGCTTTACAAAACTGTGTTCAACTTTCATGTGGATGTATAGTTGTGGATCACATAAGAACAAAACAGTATAAAATGTAGATCAGGCCCATGCTGCATTACACTCTACTATTCATACTAATAGTCATCATCAATGAAAACACATATATATACCACCTTCATATAAACTACTGAGGAAATTAATGTGTTTAACTGTTACAAAAAAAACAATGAATTTATACTCTTTCTGCAACCAAAAACATAGTAACTGCTAATAATCAATAGTCATTGAACCAGTGGGATTCAATTACAGCAGGACACACACTGTTCCGTTATTCAGCTGGAAGAATGAATGGACATAATTAAAACAACCTATCAGATATACTGAAATATTAAACCACCCACTGCAAGTGACTTCATTCAATGAGGAATTAAGTCGGTCAGTCAATAAGTTTGGCAATTAATTATTAATCTAGAGGTTTATGTGGAAGAGAGTAATCATGCAACGCAATACTTTACAGATTGTAAAACCCTTTTAAGGGGCAGCCTCTTACAAGACTTCCCAGGTTTATTCTATTTCCTTCCACTTCTTGGAAGGATGCCAAAAATGTCACCAATGTGATTTAAAAGTCACAAATGTGATTTAAATCCTTAGATTATGATTATAAATCCAGTTTTCTAAGAAAGATGAGTTGTGAGATGAGATGTGGCCTTTCTTTATCAAATTCCTTTAGCATCTATAAATGTTTTTTACTAATTGAAGAGATCAGTTTAATGTTTCTGAATTCACAATTCAGTTATGAAAATGATGTACTTAGCAGACATTACATACTTTACTCTAATTCTTCTATGTCTTAAATGACAACAACTACACTGTGCATCCAACTGAGTGCAGAAGGATGCCTGATTTTTTAAATCCTGACAGAGCTTAAAGGTGATGTGTGTAGTTTTATCAAGTGTAAAACTATCTTCCTTGTCCAAGCTTAAGGTAAAACTTTTCCCTCATATTGTTACGTATATCCAAGTGAAACAGCACCTCAAATTAGAGGGAAAAAAAGTATGACAGTACTTGATTTTGTCCATCTAGAATTTAATGGTTGCCCTGCCCTCACGATGATGCACACATCATCAGAGGAGGCATATCATTGGGGCAAAGAGGATTATATTGCTGAATATATGGGGCCACATAAATTGAGTTTGGTGTGGGATTGCCTCTTTGTCTGTCCAAAAGCAGTTGGCAAAGTTTGAAGCAGTCATTATGTTACCATTCCATTTGGTGAAACTAGTGACGCAGAAATTACACACTTCATCTTTAGCTCCACATAAATATCATATTTTGTGTAATGTAAGGCAGAGATGCATTTGTGAATGTAGTACTTTAATGCCAAATGATTGTTCTAAGTAACAGTAAAATGTTGAGCTGTCATCACTATTGATAGTTGATGCATCTTTGCAATTTAAAGATAAAGGGCAAATGAACTAGGCAAGCCTATTGGACTACTAAATACAAAGGAGGTTATCGCTCAGTCCCAAAATGAGAAAGGTGAGTGCATTGTCAAAAATGTATTCTCAGATTCCACATGAACTGTGACAAGCCGCAGGAACACAGCATATTTACTGTGGTTCCTCATCTTTTTTGCCTCTCAATAGCTTCTCACTTAGAATGTTCTTTAAACAACATCAGCACCTCCAGTGGCATGTAACTGGCTCACTATCGAAGATACAAATGTGTTTACGCTTCAGAGTCGATGGTGAAAATGAGCATTTAGCACAGCTGAGGACTGTTTGTCACAGCTCATTGTGGACTGAGATTGTGATTGCAGGGTGAGAGGATGACGGCGTACCTGTTCATCGTGGATAGCCTGTGTCCGTTTGGCTTTACTTTGCCTATAATACTCCATGATCATCATGGCAGCATAGATCTTTCCCACTGTCAGGTCTGTCGCTGCTGAGAAAAGGACAAGTTACCCTGCACGATTAGACAAGGTGAGATGGACCCTGAGCGAGGGGGATGGGAGTGAGGACGGGACGTGCACAAGACAAACCCAGACGCACAAACTCACATGCACAAACAAAGAGTGTCGAATCGACACACACACAGAGCCAATGGTCTTTTCACAAGCAGACTGATTAAAATGGCTAAAACTATTCACGCACTTCATTTTTACGATCAATATTTTACATACTCCATTTCTACTGTTTTAAGTACAAAAGTATTGCAAGAACTGACAGCAAACTACAGCATAATTCCTGGCTACAGTAAACAAAGTTTCTCAAAAACGGTCTTTGCCGCTTTATGAAACCGAGTTCACATGGAGAAGTTACTAAGAGTAACTTCAGACTAGGTTTACATGCCATGCTTAGTGGTGATTAAAGCCATGGTCACCACATCTGTATAGGATCTGCATAGAACAATGAAGATAGCAATTAGCATCAAACAATACAGTTCTAAATTACTACATGCTTGCTGCAAACTCATCTAAAACATACTACTAGCATTATAATTGTGTCAAAAGCTTTATTGCCTCATGTGTGACAGCAGCGCCACCTCATTTTCTCATGCTTTTTTGTAGCATCTGGCTAGCATTAGGCTAGCTAGTTTTAAGCATATTTCATAAGATAGTTAGCTTTAAGCATGTTTTTAACAGCGAGCTAGCACACAAATCTCATTGGTAGCATAATAGTGGTGCAATATATATATATATAGTTTTAATAATACTATTTTACGTACATCTTGTCAGGAATCTCATAACCCCTGTAGTGAAAAGACATCTATAGAGGGTTGATCTATAGTAAGGCACCCCCTGGTCTCAGGCATAGTGAGCTGGACATACACCAATGTGTGTTATCAATGTCTTTTGTTGCACTTGTCTTAAAATATCTTTGTTAATATGTTTGTGTGTAAAGTTGCAGTCGACTGCCCTTTTGAAAAAAACAGCATATGCTGGTTAGGTATGTTTTGACGCTGGGATGCTGGTTTATGCTGGTCCTTTGCTGGTTTATGCTGGTCATGTGCTGGCAAAAGACCAGCATAAACCAGCAAAGGACCAGCATCCTCGCGTCAAAACATACCTAACCAGCATACGCTGTTTTTTTCAACAGGGTGTAGTGAGAGGGAAGGAGCTAAACATGCAAAAGCTAACGGCAACACCACCAGGTGCTCGTGAAACATCATTCAGCGCTTTTTTTTACTGCACTAAGGCCCTAAGTAAGCGCAAAGTAATTAAGTTTTTATGCACACTGACGTAAATACCATCATTATAATAGTATACCCAATTTTTTTAACCCCGCATACAACAACAACAAACTACTGGAGATGACAACGACAATAGACGACTATGTTGACAAACGCTTATATGAAGACATTCCAAGATAAACAGATCTACAGTTTGCAAAGGCATTTTCATTGCTCATAACTTTTGGAAAGAAATAGTGCAGACACTGGACAAGGGTAAAACTTTCTAGTGTGCAGGTGCCTCTAGCATCTGTGTTAGTGCACGCTATCAAATGGAGTATACTTTGAAAGGCTATGTGTTTAGCTGTTCGCAACAAAAACTAAAATATACTTTCTGCAACTACTCTCTTGGTTCATTTGCATGTATAGGCCTTGCATCTATTTATACATTTGCCCTATACAAACTGCAATCAGCAATTTTATTGTTGGCATGTTTGCGCCATTACTGGATTTGAATAACACTGTGCCACTTTAGTATAGGGACCAATTCTCACTATGAACTAGTTGCTTATTAGCATGCCTATTAATAACATATTGGCTGTTTATTAGTACTTATAAAGCACATATTCTGCATGACCATATTCTACATCCCAATACCTAAACTTAACAACTACCTTACTAACTATTAATAAGCAGCAAATTAGGAGTTTATTGATGGAAAAAGTCATTATCAAAGGTTTGTTGATGAAGAGAATTGGACCTTAAAATAAAGTGTGACCAATAACACATACTTTCTGCGTCACTTTCAATGTCTACGATTCATTCTCAGTGAATTTCCTCTTCTGTGATCAGTCTGCAGTCTAAATGTGTGGTATACATCTATAAGGGCCCAAAATGAAACTAAGGGTACAGGCCTGGACCATCAGGGGGTGCAGAGCAGTGATTGGGCTGGCTGAGAGAAGCTGTCCTCGGGTGGTAAAAGAGACACATTGTGAACACACCAACCTCCTAGGCAACTTACACTTGTGGGGTGTCACCAGAAGGTCCAGATTCTTCTGAGAGAGATTAGGCCATATCGCCATCATCTCCTTCCTTAGTTCAGCATCCATCTGGTGCTTATCTACGCCTCCTATTTACACAGCAACAGGTACACGTACACACATATATGCAGACGTATTTCCACAAACACACACACATACACAATTTTTGTTAAGGTTTGAACAATGTAGTGTCCAATCTTACGTAAACGTATTGTGCACAAAATCTTACAAATTCTATATTTTACGAGACATTATATACAATGGGGTCTTTTTTGAGGTTTGACCAGGTTTAGAATAGATTTGAATCTCAATACTTTTGAACCTTAAACCGCTACAGGCAAATACATCAACTGTTCAAACAACAGGAATGAATGAAGAAAGTAATGCCAAACCTTCCCCACCCTTGGCGATCTTGATGTCCAGAGCAGTTCGGATTAAGGCCATAAGTGTGGAATTAAAGTGCACTGTGTTGTCATCAGCAACTGGCAGATCCATCCGCAACAGTCTCTGTGGAGAGCCAATCAGGAGCAGTTAGAAGAGCAGCGCTACTGAGATATATGTGTGCTTTGAACCTCCAGGTAGGGTGTGCTTTTGGTGTGTGAGAGGAAATGGGAGGGGAAAGGAGGGAGGGATTTTCAGGGTTAGCTCTGTGACCTTTGATACTCAGTGCAAGAATTCAATTAGAGCTGTCTTAGTGCAGTAATCGAGGAGGAGACTGATTATTGGTTTATGAGATTGCTGTGGAAGTTAATATATAAAGAACAGTTCTGTGGTCTAGAACAGTGGCTTGGTCTGGTTGGTCACAACCCAAAAATGGGCCGTAAGTCTGTTCTCAGAGAACAGCAAAAAAAAAACTGAAAGCTTAGTGCATTTAATACAAATACAACTACCACAATTGCTTACAGTCAGATGTAACAATAATAAACAGGCTTATCAACTTTTAAAATTGAGGAGGAAATGATTCCCATTTCTTTTGTTGTTGACCTCAAAGGCTGTTTTGCAGTATTTTTTCTGCAAATTCATTTGTAATTTGGTGTGACATGACCACAAAAATCATGAACAAATCTATGTCACCAAAGTAAAATAAATCATACTAAATTAAATACAATTTAAATGAGGATAAGCATGATTGTACTGACCACAATGTATTTTGAACATTGAATTGTTGGCTAAATATTTGATTTTAAGGACATTGTTATTAGTTTTGTAAAAACTTGGGTCCTAAAGCAAAACCAGTCAAAAACCACTGATTCAGATGTCCATGAAACTGAGGCAGCATTTGCTACAAATCAGATTTGTATCTGTATGATGGATGATGTATTTTGTTTTCAAAGCAGCATCTGAGCTGTCAGTCAAAGAGCTTTTCCGGGAGGAGGTTCACATTTTAAACTCAGACCAGCAGATGAAATAATACATTAAAACATCATTACGTAAACGTTTTAAAGTATAATTCATCCTGTACTGATCTGGGGAAAGATTATACTTAAACACAGAAAGTCATAATTGCATTGCACAGGGTTAAATGTTACCTCAATCCTTCCGTTACCATGATACCCTCTGCGATGCAATCACTCACGTTACCCGGTGTCTCCCCGTCCTGCTCCATCCCAGAAGAAACACTCACCCTCCACCCCCACTACCCTCTTTCCCAGCATGCATCATGCAGTCACATGCATCACAGGACAAGCAACAGAGCAGCCAACACTGAAAGCATCATCTAGTTGGTTCATTTCAGCTCATTCATTTAGGTTTAGTAGTGGTTGCTGTCATTGAGACTCAATCATAGATGGGCTACTGGATAAAACAAGAGCTCGATCCAGATTCTCTGGTCTCTCAATGCAAAAAAGATGGGTGCAGGCTATTGGTTTAGGTTAGAGCAGCATTCTCCAGAAAAAAAAGAACAAAAAAAGGAAATGGCTTTGTGAGTTGTTGTTGTGAAGAGGATGAGCTAAGAGTGAAGATTCGGCTACCTGCTGCGCAAGGGTAATACTTTAATGCTACGGATGATAAAGAGAAAAGCAGTGGGCTGTCAGAGAGGAGCACCGGAGCAGGAAGTTGGTTTAGGACTGACAGCTTTTACAGGAGGAGTTTGGATGGCTGAGATGGTAGTGATGAAAGAGACAGGACAGAGACAGTGACACCAAATTTAAAGAGAGCTCAAAAGCTACATGAAAATCAGAGGGAAAAGGAGAATGAAGCGGAAGATAAAGCTACAGGAAACATAAGAAAGGAAAGCTCTACCACAGGCTGGTCACATTCTCTACAGGCGATCCTCTATTATGGGCCATAATGTTTGACAGGGAGAAAGAGGGTGAATGCAATGGTCGTGGTCAGGTTAGCGGGCAGCAGAGACCCCGTTAGACAGGAAGTGACCTGTCTGACTGAATACACAGAGATTGTTGGTCTTCCACCACGTTTATGTTGGTGGAGATCACTGAACACTCTATGAAGCAAAATATTTAATGAAATGGGAGATCAAATTGGACAGAGGAAAATGGAGGGGGTGGGGAAAAGGTAAGCGAAAGGAGATTCATTAAGGGCACAGATCTCCTTTCCTTCTAGTTGTCGTTCACTGACCACAGGGTGAAATGTCAGTGTACGGTTGCAGACAGACAGAGAGAGAAGAAGAAAGCGAGAAGAAGCTAAGGGAGTATCTTGTGGGAGGGGCCAGTGGCCTGGAAGGCGGGGCATGCAGATGATTGGCAGAATGTAAAGAGGAGGGGCTGGAAACAGATTAGAACTGCATTGACAGAAGAAAGAGAAGTGGGAAAAGGATTATTTGTGTATTGTATCAAAATGACTTGATTTGTTCCTTTGTAGGGCCATAACGCTACCCAGGGATTACATGTGTGTTGTTGCGTATGTGTGTGCATGTGTGCTTATCTGTGTATTAAGCGAAAAAAGAGAGACAGAGAGCTGGTCCCAAGAGGAAAGGGTCCCTAAGAGAGCGGCATCCACAGAGCTGAGGGACTCGGAGGACTAAAGTCCTTCAGGCCTTCCTACCACTGCTGCACACGCACATTTGGGGGTGTTTTTTAACGTGTGTGTGTGTGTGTGACGATGTGAATAGACAATATGCACGTGTATGTGTGTACATGTGTCCCAATTTGCGTACTCATGCACTATTCTATGCCATTTTATAGTAGCGTGTTCACACTAAAAATTTGATGCATGATGCACTTAATTGACCAAAATAATGAAGTTTGGAATGTTGGACACTTCATGCACTCAACTGTTGCCGCTTTCCTTATGTAGCAAAGGTGGAGGGACAACCAGACTTTGATGCTGGATGACAAATTAACCTTATATAATTCATAAACTAGACGGTAGTGCATAGTATAAGTGCATAGTGTGTAGTGCATCATGTGGGACACTGCATTTTTTTGTTTATTAATCACATTGCATCTCAGATCTGAAATTCAATTATTGATCACTGCTGTACATTAAAGCATAAGAATCTTGCTTTAATGTATTGATAAAGGTGTAGAATGTAAAAGCAAATCTGAGACCTTTATGTTTCATCCTTCGAAGTTTCAAAAGCTATGAAAGTGTGCGTTAGTGTATATGTGTGCGTGTATGTTTTCATACGGTGCAAAAGTGCTGAGAAGGTTAGTCCGTTCCCGCTTCCCTGTGGATCGGCCCGCCTCAGTCTAACACCCTCGAACCCGGCCCTGCCACCAGAATCACAATAGCGGCCTCCGTCAGACAACGAAGGAGGAAAAGAAGGAGAGAAAATAAAGAGAAAACACCAACAGTACAGACACAGCGCTGGCCACTCGGAGGCCCTCTACCTTGTAGGCAACCCGTGCAGGGCACTTCTTCCCAAGGCCTAACGGAGGAGACATGTGCCTGAGCATCTCATACATATCCCTGAAACTGATTCTGCCACTGGGCAACCGAAACAAAAGAAAAACCAAAGGAAATGTGCATGGGAGAGAGAGAAAGAGAAGAAGAAAAGGGGTAAATCAAAAAAGAAGGGATCAGGAAGGAGACGGGGAAGTGGGAGGGGAGGAGAACAGAACAGAGCAGAACAAAAAGAAAGTTATTGGCCTGGACGAAAGGAGCGGCTTGGTAAACTAGGCTGCCGTAAGACTGATGATCGGTCATTTGTGGGTAAGGGGTGGGGGGAGGTGGGAGGGGGTTGTGCTGAACGTCTTGAGTTGCTAAAAAGGCGTTCTATGCAATGGGGCAGGTTGCATAGAAGAGCATGCGGGCTTCAGAACAGGCATAAAGTCCCGCTGCTGGCAGGGCGTTGTAATGAAGTTTAATGTCAATGCAGTTTCTGTCCCCCTCCACCCAGAACAATGCACGCTACCATACCAGCTAGGCCTAGCCGTGCCTCAACAGCAAGCAAAACAAAAATCAAAGATGGCTGATTCGTTTGGTTTTTTTGTTTGTTTGTATTTCACTTTAGTGGTTTTCTCGTTTGCTTGTTCCATACACACTAGTGCACTAGTTCATGCTCCTGTAAGTGTCGGCATTGTCCTGCACATTCTCATTGTCATATCAAGTAGAATGCAAGTAGAAATGGTGAGAGTACAAAACCATTGTTGAAAAGAAAAAGAAGAGGAGATAAGCGACATTCATTGCATTCTGGATGCTAGCAGGTAATATTAGTTTTTAAGTGGAAGTCAAACCTTGCAGGCCACCCTATGAGGACATTTCTTGCCTAAGCCCAGAGGGGGGTCGATAACTCGCAATAAACTGTACATATCCTTATAATGAATGCGCCCGCTGTAAGAAGAATACAGGGAAGTTAGAGAACACAACTCAGAACAGAGACATTGTCAGGAAGAAGAGCACAAGAACAGGAAGAGAAGCACATAATCACACACATTTTCTTATTTGCTCGTCACCGTTTGTGCCGTCAAATCTGTTCGCACACCTCCATATTACTGTTCCTCACCCGTCTCTGCTTCACTTCTTGTTTTTCCTTTATTCCTTACTTTCACTTTTCAGTTAGTTCGGTTTTCTTCCTGTAATTCCTCTTTAGCTGGCTTCCTTTCCTATCCTTTCCTTATCCTCCCTCCCTCTTTTTCTTATTTCCTTTTGTTTTCTTCCTCTTCCTCTCTTTATTTACTCCTTACCCCTACATGAATTTCTCCCTTTCTCTTTTACTTCCTCATTTTTCTCTTCTACTTCCATTTCCTCCATTTCCCTTCCTCCCTCCTTTCTTTCTTTTCCATCTTTCCTTACTCATTTTTCTTTATTATATATATATTTTTATCATTTATTGCTTCCTTCTTTTTAGTTATCCTTACTTGCTTCCTCTTTTCCTTCTGTTAATTGTATTCCTTCCTTCATTTAGCTTCTACTTTCTTTTTCCCTTCCTTTCTCTTTCCCTTCCTTACTCTTTTCCATCATGTCTTTCTTTCTTGTTTCTTCACTTGTTTCCTGCTTGCTTTTCCCAATCCTTTCTCTTTTCCTTTCATTATTGGTTGTTCTTTACTTACTGTTTTTCTGGCTTCCTTTTGCTTTCTCTTTCTTTCACCTTACTTTCTCTTTTCCTTCCCACCTTCTACCTCCTTCCTCCTTTCCTTTCATTCTTTGTTTTCCTTCCTTCCTCTTCCCCTTTCTCGTGCCCTTCTTTTCACCTTCCTTTCTCTCTTTCTCCCTTGAAGTTTACCTTTCTATTCACTTTTCCTTTCTATATTTCTTCCTTATTTTCCTTTCCCTTTTTACTACATCTTTTCCTTTCTTGCTTCTTTTTCTACTTCATTTCCCTTCTTTTTTTCGTCCTCTTTCCTTCTTGCTTGTCAGATTGATTCTGCCATTCAGAATGAAGACTCTCTGGAAGACTCACTCTCCGAAATCTTTTCAGCATAATTTCCCTCGGTAAAAAGGCTTTAATTCAGTCTTTTTTTCAGTCCTTCCTAGTCTTCTCTGAATATCTGATTAACTCTCGGTTGCCCGCCTACGTTACTGTCTAACACACAACATTAGGGTGACAGGCACTGGAATGCAGATACCGGGAAACTTAGCGTGTTCAGTAGAAGGGAGGGGGCTGGCACAGTAAGTTTGGCTTGCAGTATGCAGTATTCCAGAGTGGGAGGACTGGGACTCACAGAAGGGCACGTAGGAGGGTTTGGGGGGGATTGATGGATTTTAGCAGAGCTGAGAAGCTCAAATCCATGATCCCTTTCTCTCAGCTGGTGCTGTGGTGTTCTCCTCGCTGTTTGGTCCAAGGTAGGATACAATGAAGCCAGGCTCTGTACGTTAAAGACTTTGCCAGAGGCCACAGCTCTATACCGATGTCAAAAACGAAGTGTTCCAGTCGAACACATAAAAGAGGGCCAATGTGGTCTGTTATATAGGACAGAGGCTATATTTACAGTTGTGAAAATGTACAACACATTTAAAGCACACTGTCCTTGCACGCAAGACCAAAACATGTTAAAATAGCCTCTTTAAAATGGTGTGTCCAGCAAATTTAAGGGCCAAAGAAATTTGAAAAGTAAGGGTCTGTTACATCCAATTCTGCATTTTAAAAGAATCCATGGTCTCACATTTTAGGACATTATCGATTAATTACCGAGAAACATGTTATAGACAGTCTAATGGCATCTATTTAGTACTACCAAGAGTGTATGAATAAGTTTAGTGAGACGTGTAATTAAACAATTATACATTTTGTTTATAAATTTGCTTCATGTTACTAAGTAATAAGTACTTTTCACAATTAGTATGTTACATACAAGATTAGTATATAATAAAATATTGAAAGAGCATGTTTATGTGTGCAAGTGCACATAGGCTCACCAAGCAGCTGGATCATACTCCGCCCAGATTCTCACATACTCGTCCAGGTGATGGGGTCCCAGGATAGAGGAGTCACGCGTCAGGTACTCAAAATTATCCATGATCACAGCCACGAACAGATTCAGCATCTACACACAGGTAAATCACAGGACTAAGCAGACAAATCTGATGAGTTGAGCTGTAAAGTACACACCTCATGTACATGACACTATGTCATTTCTCCGCTTTTAAGCAATATTAATACAGTACAATTATGGATGTCACACTGTATTTAAAAAAATGGTCAGTGTAGTTGCAGTTTGTAACATAATCCATCACATTGCACATTTTAGGTAATATGTGACCCTGGACCACAAAACCAGTCTTAAGTCGCTGGGGTATATTTGTAGCAATAGCCAAAAATACATTGTATGGGTCAAAATAATAGATTTTTCTTTTATGCCAAAAATCATTAGGATGTTCATTAGGATAAAGATCATGTTCCATGAACATATATTGTAAATTTCCAACCATAAATATATTAAAACTTAATTTTTGATTAGTAATATGCATTGCTAAGGACTTCATTTGGACAACTTTAAAGGCGATTTTCTCAATATTTAGATTTTTTTGCACCCTCAGATTCCAAATAGTTGTATCTCGACCAAATATTGTTCTATCCTAACAAACCATACATAAACGGAAAGCTTATTTATTCAGCTTTCAGATGATGTATAAATCTCAATTTCGAATAATTGACACTTAAGACTGGTTTTGTGGTCCAGGGTCACATATAATCAGAGTACATTATGATTACTTTTAGATTACATTTGACCGTACTCGTTCACCATATTGATTTAAAAGGGATAATCTTGTACCATATTGATATAAAAAAATAGTAATAAAATACATTCTATGCATTGTAATGCATTAAACACAACATTACGCCAAGGTTTCCCATGGGGTTCATAAAGGAACTGCAAGGGGTTGGTGAGTTTAATGAAAAGGTAATAGTTAATTAAATCATAGTAATGTAAAATGAATAATGTAAAATTTGGAATCTTAATATGTAATCCAGATTACATGTAATCAGTTACTACCCAGCTCTGTGTATGTATATATATATATATATAATACGATATATAACTACATAACACAATACATATAATACAATGAAAACTAAATAGCAGCTTTGTGTCAGTGGATATAATCAGTATTGGGAACACATTTGTTTGCATTTTGTTTTGCTGTATCACTGGAACAGATGGAAAGTAATAGAGAAGTATGGCGCATGTCTGAGTCACTTTTCACCACTGATGACAAATGTGGCAACCACTCAGCAAAACCTCAAAATGAGAAATCCTAGTGCCAGATTCCCTCTTACTATAATATAACGCCCACTAAAGAAATGGAAATTGCTGCTCAACAATTGGAGATCTTTTCATCAGTATTTGATACAAGCTTTCCAAAAGCAATTTCATAAAATAGCATGATGCCTATGAGTACAACGCTAGTGATAATAAGAGTGCTGATGTTCTCACCAGAAAGGAACAGAGGAAGATGAAGGAAACAAAGTAGAGGTAGGCAAACTCGCTCCCACACTCTGCCTCCACGTTACCAGAGAGAGGATCACACACCTTCTTTCCCAGACACGACAGCATGATATCATGCCACGCCTCACCTGTAGCACTCCTACAAACACACGGTGTTGAACTACGGTTATAAACGGTTTGTAACCCACACACAACATTCAACAGAGCCAGTCTGTGATTCACACACAAACCTGAAGAGCAGCATTAGCGCCTGGAAAAAAGTCCTGAAGTTGTTGTGCTGGTTAATGGCACTCTCACCATCCTCCTCAATCGCAATGTTCCCAAACAGCTGTGAAACACAAAACCCACCCCAGCATAAGCCCACAATCTCATTGCCCACTACCTTCAAATATAGCCATTTACCTATTCTCAGTATGTGCTGTGCAGCCTCCCACACACTCTGTCACATACTCACCTGCATGCCAATGATGGCGTAGATGAAGAACAGCATGGCGATGAGTAGGCACACATACGGCAGAGCCTAAGCACAGCAGATCAGTCAAAATAAACCATCAATTAAATGTGAGTGAAAACCTGTTACTGGCAGTCTGAGGAGAAATGTGCAACACAATGTCAACATGTTAGCATAAATTTAGGTAAATTAGGACACATTTTGAGATGACTACGAAAAAAGGTCCAATTAACCAGAATTAACCCCTACCAAAAACCCTGACCACATTAAAAAAAAAAAGTTATTTATGCTTAAATTCATTCATTGTCCGCCATTTTGCGTACACACTATAAACATTCTCTTTCCATAACAAATTTCTGACTAGCACATAACACAGCAAGTGCGTTTGTGACATATTACATTAATATCATGTATAATGCTTTGTTTAGGTTTTAGTTTAGTTAATTTACACGCTAGCTAAGTGGCCTCAGTTTCAGCTTACACAGCTCCAAGGTTATTACTGTTTACTTACAACTAAATCTAAAACTATTGAAAACACATTTTCAATTTTATATATAGCATAACATAAAATAAAACAAAAATATTACATGGTAAACCAAACTAAATGAAGATCAAGCAATGTTGCTTTGGCAACTAACTGACATATTTTTAATTTGAAGAGGTAAAATTACGGTAACACTTTACAATAAGGTTCAATAGTTAAACATTAGTTAATGTATAAACTAACATGAACTAACCATGAGCAATACATTTGTTACTGTATTTACTAATCTTCACTAAAGTTAGTTAATAAAAATACAGATGTTCATTGTTAGTTCATGTTAGTTCACAGTGCATTAACTAATGTTAACAAGATTTTAATAATGTGTTAGTAAATGTTGAAATTAACATTAATAAAGATTAATAAACGCTGTATAAGTGCAGTTCATTATTAGTTCATGTTAACTAATGAAACTTATTGTAAAGTGTTACCAAAATTACTAACTGGGAAAAAAAATTAAAAACTAAATCTTAGCTAAAACTAAAAATGAAATAAAAATAAAACCTAACTAATAAAATAAAATAACTAATAAAATAAAAAGTAATAAAACTTACAAAAGCACATAATAAAATGACTAACAGTTAAGCTAAAATAAAAAAAACGAAACTATAAAAATAAAAGCCCATTCAAAATATTAATAAAATCTATATAACATTATACAAATAATACTAAAATAACAATGCACAGGTCAAGCAATTCAGTCCGCAACATTACTGATTATGATCAGATTTTTTGGGTTAATATTCGTACTAGATTCTTCAAAAGAAAGTAGTAAAATGATTTATCATCATAATGCACATTTTTATTCACAACTTCATTATTGTTTTTGAAATAAACAAAAACAACCTTCATTAACCAACATTTTGCCAATAATTTCATTAACAAGATAGCTCTGTGTGTTGTCTGACTCAAAAAAACAAAACAATGCTTGCATACCGTTTTGTATGTGTGTGTAATTTTACCTTGAAAGACTGGACGAAGGTCCAGAGCAGGATGCGTATGGTCTCACCCTGCCTGAGCAACTTAATGAGACGAGCAGCTCTGAAGAGCCTTAGAAAACTCAGATTTATGAAGTTGTTCTACAGAGACAGAAAGGAAGCAGTAGACAGAAATAAAGAAGGGGCAGACAGAGAGAGAAAGGAAATGATGTCAGTCTAAAACATTTGATTTCAAATTGTGAACAAATTAAAAAGGAAGGAAGGAAAGAAAGATAGATAGATAGAAAGAAAGATAGAAGGAAAGAAGGAAGGAATAAAATCAAACAATAAAACTTACAAAAGCACATAATAAAATGACTAACAGTTAAGCTAAAATAAAAAAAACGAAACTATAAAAATAAAAGCCCATTCAAAATATTAATAAAATCTATATAACATTATACAAATAATACTAAAATAACAATGCACAGGTCAAGCAATTCAGTCCGCAACATTACTGATTATGATCAGATTTTTTGGGTTAATATTCGTACTAGATTCTTCAAAAGAAAGTAGTAAAATGATTTATCATCATAATGCACATTTTTATTCACAACTTCATTATTGTTTTTGAAATAAACAAAAACAACCTTCATTAACCAACATTTTGCCAATAATTTCATTAACAAGATAGCTCTGTGTGTTGTCTGACTCAAAAAAACAAAACAATGCTTGCATACCGTTTTGTATGTGTGTGTAATTTTACCTTGAAAGACTGGACGAAGGTCCAGAGCAGGATGCGTATGGTCTCACCCTGCCTGAGCAACTTAATGAGACGAGCAGCTCTGAAGAGCCTTAGAAAACTCAGATTTATGAAGTTGTTCTACAGAGACAGAAAGGAAGCAGTAGACAGAAATAGAGAAGGGGCAGACAGACAGAGAAAGGAAATGATGTCAGTCCAAAACATTTGATTACAAACGGTGAAGAAATTAAAAAGGAACTACGGAAGAAAGAAAAGAAGGAAAGTAGGAATAAAATCAAACGAGGAGAAACCAAAAAAAAAACAAATAATCAAACTGACAAGACTAAACAGGCTCAGCATATCCAGTGGTGAAAGAGGGGGAAAGACAAAGATAAAGGGAGGAGGCAGCAACTCATACCAAAAAATAATATAATTATATAATAAAACAAAATACTGTAAAAGAGTTCTCATTAGGGAAGGGAGTGCACAGACCCTAACTTCTTGCTTCAGTCAACCAAATGCACTGATCTGTAGATTCACGTGGAATCATGCCAACCACACTAATAGCATACAATGACCAACAGAGGGCACTAGCAAAGACAAGGGACATGCGCTGGGTTAAAGGACATATTTCAGTCAGTCATGGGCAATTTTTTTTTATTTTCTTCTTCTTTTTTTTTTTTTTTGAAGGCGTCAGGAACTGAGGGGAAGAAATGACTGTTTATTGTCCTTTAAGCAGCACAGAGATACTGGGAAACAAAAAAGTTCAAGGTGGATTTAACTCCATCTCTACCTTCATAACCGACATATTTAGATGTCTTTAGTACGCTTACATCTATGTGTGTGTTGATGTATTTATATGACTGTATGAAGATGCAGTGTCAAAAACAACAATTACTAGCGTTCCCTGTCAGCAAAAAAGCGCAACATGCATTCAGGAAACCTGCAAACTGTGTGCTAAGGCTCAAGTACACCTCAGCTGATAGGGGCTTTGTCATATTGTTAGACAAGCAGGGGTGAAAGGTCATCATGACTCAAGCACATGCATCATTATATCATCATCAGCTACAGGGAAACAGATGCATTAGATGCATTACTCCAAAAGAAAAATTACAAACCATCTACATGTAGATGTTGCAGAAGCATGGTTTATAGCAGTATTTTTGGAGGTTGATTAAACAACCATTGTGATCGGTTTATTCAGGTCATGGATATACACATGAGTTTCATAGTGCATTTTGATTGGATGGAGTCATCAGAGGGCAAAGCCGCCATAAAGAAGAGTTTAAAGAAAGCATGTAAAACAAAGATAAAACAAGACATGAATTATCATTATGCATATCGACAAACCTTTCAATTCAAATTAAGGTTGATTATAACAAAAAAACATTTTTTAAATGATGCACTTTTCATATGCGGTTTGAAAAGCTTTTATCAATACATATATATTTGATAACTGGATAATCTTGTAACTGGAGATCTGACTTCAGTCTTTAATTACAAATTTAACAAAACATCAGCACTAAGCTCTTAAGGTGGATCTCCAGGTACAGGACTGGGTCTTAAAATAAAAATAAATAAATAAAAACACTTATTAATATCATATAATGCAGTATTTCTCATCACATTTCTGTTAAAAACACCATGAAATTAAAATAGAAAGTCCATTTGTGTTTGCTTTGAGGTCATCAGTATGCTTGTGTAATCCAAAAAGCTGATGGAGTAAATATAATTACAATTTAATATTCAGGGTTTTTCTTTGCTGGGGAAATGGAACAGAAGTATTGATGACTGAAATGTAAGCCCAATAAAATGCCCTTTAGAATGTGAAAGGCCCTTTCCCCTAATCAATGCAACCTGTCATCATGGTTTTGCCAGACCATGACGTGAACTAAAGTCTACTGCCATTTTAAAATAAATAATTAAACAATTATGAAATGTCAATAAATTGGTTAATTAAATAAACAAACATTTCAAAATAACAAATGCATAATAATGACATTTTCAAATAAATGATAAAGACCAGTGATGTAACTAAACTCTCCAGGTAAATAAAAAAATGAAATAAAATGACAAAATAACTACATAAATAAAAATATTATATTTCCAAATTAATAATAATGTTGATTCTTAAAGATCTTGCTTGGATTAGTGCAGTTTTCTTTCCTATGTTGACAGAAACAGGTAGTTTGGGCCGGACATTTTGAAGGTCTTGTCTCTTTTTATAATAATAATAATAATAATTATTATTATTCAATCAGCTTGTAACACTCCCAAGAGAAAGGAAAACTTGAAATCGCATCATATGACCCCTTTAAGAATTTTCTGCTATTTATAGTAGTTACTGCACCTCAGTATTGTAGTACATTATAAAACAGTACGCAATAATAACGTATTGAGTGTAAATTGCAATTTTAATTCAAATGATTAAATGGATGCCACTTTAATGGGACACTAAATCCCTCCCTACACCTACTTGATATTTTATTTTCAACTTTTCGATTATTTCCTTCATTTTTATTAAAAATAAATGCCTTTCTGATTTGATATGAGATTTGAAAAGGAAAAAAAAAGTTCAGCAAAAGGCGGATTCGAACTCGGGTCAATCGCGTCAAAAAAGCCACAGCACACACTATGAAACCGATATTTGTTAAACGTCTTTTATAGTGTTAACTCGCAATCACACGTTGGTGGGCGGAGTTAGTGTAAATAGTTTCTGTCAACAAGTCGGGCTATTTGCACTTAGTGTAAACACACTCCGTTATTATTAAACAGGCAACTAGAGGTGTGCGATATATATCGTAATTTTTGTTTTAACAACGTGCGATTTGACATTATGGAGTACATCACAAAAACCAAACAAAACAGACTTTATTTACATTACAGCCATTAACCATGATTTGCTCGTCACATTTGGGGCAGGACATTCTCATGAGTCGTCAATACTTTTGGTCTTTTGATCCTAGAAAAGAACAGTACTTTTTGAAATATGTAGATTTGATAGTTTAATTAGTCTAATTGTAGGTCAATTTTGATTCCATGGAGTCTTTAAAGTGCCTGTACAACAGGTGTTGATGATCTGCTGTAAAACCAAGAAGAAAAAACACATACACAAACACATGTTTTACTAATATTTAGAAACCGCCATTATCATTTGCTGTATTATGAAAACATGTTAACATTTGAGAACAACATTTTTACTGATAGGTCAGTTTGATCTGGCTGGGGGATAAATGACGACGCTGGAAGAGTAACAGACCCCCGTCACCACTGAGCACCCCTGGCTCACTGATCTGCCTCACACACCAACTGGGACGATTATATAAGACTTTTAGGAGTTCATTACACCTCAGTGAGCAAGAGAAGATCCTGCTGAGAGTCTCTCAATCACATACGGAAATACACACAAGCATACAGACAGGATACACAAACAAACACGCACATACACACTCACAGATGGGAGCCCTTCTGCTACACACTTACCCCTAGCTCTGTGACTAAAATATCAGTGATGCTGCCAAGTACAGTCACACAGTCGAAGATGTTCCAGGCGTCTTTGAAGTAGTTCTGTGGTAAAAAAAAGACATAGATGCGTTTGTCAGCTGGGCTAAAGGAGAATTACACTTGGCACACACACATTCAGTGACCCGCCGACAGAAAAAGGAGCAAATGATTTATTTTCACTCTCTGGTGCTAATGAAACGTCTCCTTTCCCCCTTTTAGCCCTTATTCCTTCACTGAGTTTAACAGCCTGTGTACAAAAAAGGGTAGATGCCTAGAAGACTAGTGGCCCAGATGCTGAACATGACGGCCTTTTTGTGAGCTGCCAAGTGAGTGCCTGCAGGAAAACAGTGCATTAGGGCCATTCAGTACACCAGCTGCATGGGATCAGGGGCACCGGTGCAAAGAATGTGTGTGTGTGTGTAACTCTTTCCATCCACCACCCGTCATACCCATCGTCTTCATTTCGCTCAAAATCCATCCTCCTTTTTCCATTTTCCACTCCTAATCACTTCAATGTGCCCTCCAGCTCACTATCGTCATGTGCGTCTCTTTTAGCTGACAACCATTTCCTTTGAATCATCCACTTCCATGTCCCAACTCTTTTCTCATCTACTTCAGAATGCAACTTCTTTGATCTCTCTTTCTCATGCTCAATCTGTTCATAAATCTGCTTGTGCAATGCTGATTCTGACCTCTGTGGTTTTTAAAGACTTTCGTCCCAATTCCTTTAGCCCCGTTTCACACAAAACAGGTATATGAACACAAGTAGGGTCCAAAATGAACATTTTGCCACATCTGCCAACGGTGAGCGAGGTGAGAAAATTAAACAGTCATATTTATGTCTTAGTGGTGATAAAACTGTATTTATTGATTTTTTTGAAAACACATTAACTATATTTTTGTCCTTAAAGGGATAGTTCACCCAAAAATGAAAATTCTGTCATTAATTGTGGTTCCACACCCTGTTCAATTTTCTGAACACAAATTAAGATATTTTTGATGAAATCCGAGAGCTTTCTGACCCCGCATAGACAGCAATGCAATCGAAACGTTCAAGGCCCAGAAACATAGCAAGGACATCGTTAACATAGTCTATGTGACATCAGTGGTTCAATTTTAATTTGATGATTTATGAATTTTATGATATGATAATTTTCTTCTCTTCTGTGTCAGAATTTGACGCGAGTTCACAACAGCACCACAACGCATAAGTGTCTTCACCTGCATATAAATAAGCCACCTGTAAATAAGCCACAGCTGTTCTACGTCAGAACGCCAGCTTCTACGTCAGCAGTATCACACGCATGTGTCGTGGTACTCGCGTGAATGCGCGGCGGAGACTGACATGGAAGAGAAGAAATTGTTGAAAAAAGTAATTATTTTTGTTTTCTTTGTGCACAAAAATTATTCTCATAGCTTTATAACATTACGATTGAACCACTGATGTCACATGGACTATTTTAATAATGTCTGGGCCTTGAACGTGTCAGTTGTGTTGCTGTCTATAGGAGGGTCAGAGAGCTCTCGGATTTCATCAAAAATATCTTAATTTGTGTTCTGAAGATGAACGAAGGTCTGTGGAATGACAAGGGTGAGTAATTAATGAATTTTTGGGTGAACTATCCCTTTAAGACAATGTGATTGTTTGTATTTGACTATGTGATTTTTGTATTTTAATTTGTGTAATTGTCTCTCAAGATGAGCCAGTATCTGTCTCTTAGTCAAACTGTACTTCTCACAAAAAATGTGGCACATTTCATTCATTCACGTTTGATTTTTGTTTTGTTGGCTTAATGCAACGAAGATTCAATGTGTGCCATTACAAAGACTTTTGTTGTGGGGGGAACATTAGGCATCCTATATAAACTTCTGATGGTAAAAAGGTATTATAAGATGTTGCAGCTTCTAGTAGTCACTGTATACTTTCACTTGCATTTGCTGCTTAGTGAGTGACAATTCTGGACCCAACATGCACACACATACAGTTAAACATGAGAAAACTGTACAGTAGACTCACCAGCACTCCAAAGGCAATGATCTTCAATATGCACTCCATGGAGAAAAGTGAGGTGAACACTATGTTCAGGTTGGCTAACACAGCTTCATAGGCATCTGATGCTCCATCATACTAAACAAACACAACATATTTAAACTGTATTAAACTGTATTTAGAAATGTCTCAAATTTTGGTAACTGGACTATAAAAACGGCAAACCTTGTAGAACATCGGTACTGAAAATCCATTTTTAGTTTTACCCTATTTGTGGAAAGCACCGGTAAACTAACAATGCTAGAGTCTAAAGATTCTAAACTCTGTAATTGTTAGTTTGTACCATCACAAACTTTTAAAAGCAAATTTATCATACATTGGAAGCCTAATTCTCAAAATACAGTGGGTACGGAAAGTATTCAGACCCCCTTAAATTTTGAGATGTACTAAAGTGAAATACTGCCACACCTTCATCATAAGGACAATGGTGTTGAGGGCAATCAATGCCATGATGGTGTATTCAAATGGAGGAGACACCACAAACTCCCACATGCGGTACTGGAATGTTTGTTTGTTCTGAGGCATGTGTCGCGTGAGCGGTTTAGCATTGATGGCGAAGTCTATGCAGGCTCTCTGAAAATAGAACAGATACGATGAGGTTAGTCATGCTGAAAATCTGCGGCACCATATCAATGAGATCAATGCCAGCGCTATGCATAAAGAATGAGCTAGACTGATCATTTAGCTTAAAAAAAACATGCATTTGATATGTCCTCACCTCATTCTTTTCCAGGCTATACTCCTCCATCATTTTGTCTCCTTGCTCCTGGAAAGTAATGATGATAAGAGCCACGAAGATGTTGACGAAGAAGAAGGGGAAGACCACGAAGTACACCACGTAAAAGATGGACATTTCCATCCGGTAACCTGGACTCGGGCCCTGATTCTCGTAGGTCGCATCCACTGAATGTTTCAGCACCCTGGCGAGTGGCAAAACAATAAGGCATTGAATATGCTGTAATGTGATACTACTGTCAAATCTTTTAGGTAATTGTAACAAGTCCTTAGATATGCCATTTAAAATAACTTCAACTTCACTCAAATTGTAATTTGTGATGAAAACATTTGCATTACATTAGAAAACAGAAGCAATTTCACTAGTGGCTTCAGATACTGGGTACGTACACTGAAAATTAGGTTAGGAATTGAGATGTATACATACTGTGGCCACCCCTCTCCCGTAGAAACTGTGAAGAGGGTGAGAAGGGCCCAGAGCACATTGTCGTAGTGGAAATCGTATTTCTTCCATTCCCGCTTCTGCGCCCGCACTTCGTTATCTTTTTCATAGACAAGATATTCGCCCCTAACAACAAAATGCTTTTAGGATAACACACCAATATGTCTGTTCGTCAGTCTGTTTGTGTGTGTGTGTGTTTTTGTCTCACCTGCAGTCACGCTCCAACTCCTTGGATTCATCGGTACAGTAGAAGAAACGGCCTTTGAAGAGCTGCACAGCCACCACAGCAAAGATGAACATGAACAGCATGTAGACAATGAGTATGTTCAACACATTCTTCAGAGAGTTCACCACACAGTCAAAGACAGCCTGAAAATAGACAACACAGAGAAGAGACAAATTCAAATGTGGCCTGAAAGCAGAACACAAACTCGGCCTCAAAACACAAACCAATACATCTTCAAAATGTAAAAATTCAACTTAATAAAGCTAATAAATATACATAAAAATTGAAACAAACCAAACAAATCAAATCAAATCAAATCAATACCCTAAAAAGCAACAATAAAAAACAGCCTGAAAAACACAAAGAATTAACATAAATTAAAATATAGCCTGACAGTCGAACACAAACCTTATAAGATGACAAAACGGCATCAAAAATGTATGAACACAATTAAATACAACTATAAATGATCATAAAAACAGAAACAGAATTATTGCAAACCAGCAAAAAAAATAAAAAAATTAAATAAAATCAAGCAAAGCCTGAAAAAAAACATACAAAAGGCATTTATAGAACACAACTCTTAGATAAAACAAAACAGCATCAATATACGCAAAAACAGATTAATTGCATTTACATAAAAAAAAACAGATATACTGTAAAACAAAATAAACAAATGTGAAAACGCTTCAATGTTAGAAACAAAGCAAAAAACAGATAAAGCAGTCAAGTGATACAAATAAATGAACAAATACAAACAAAAGGTCTAAAAACCAGACAAAACAAATTAAAAACAGTCTGGTCAAACACAGCCAGAAACTGATTACACTGAAAAATAAAGCCCATGTAGTGAAAACAAAAACCAAACATACTCTGTAAACAGGCAAATCTCAGTCAAAACAAGGAGGAAAAATACAACCAAACACAGAGGTACCTTCAGCTTTGGCAGACGCTTGATGGTTTTCAGAGGCCGCAATACTCGGAGCACACGCAGCGACTTGATAGTACTGATGTCTTTCCCCTTGCTGCTTCCTCTGCAGATGAACACAAACACACACAAACAACAGAGTTAGAAAGTAAAATGGCAGGAAGTGTTAGGCTACATGGGTAATTGGTCTTGCACACACACAATTTAGGGGTGAGTTAGTAGCTCAGGCTGTTAAAACAATGAAACATGCCTGCTACATCCACACATTTACTCCTAGCCAATCAAGAATCTCGTCTGTGCTTCCTCACTGAGAATGCAGCCTGTTGTAGCTAGACAATCAAGCCCATTTCACAGCACTTAGAATAGACACGTACTAAAACACATGTACACAGTCAATCTCACAACACACACACTCTCAGACAAACTCGCTGGTGTGGCTCATGCTGTACTGAAAACTAGCTCAGCGGATGTAATATCCACTGTACCGTCTTAGCCCATGCTGGAACCACCATTGTACCTCTTTTCCCAAGGAACACTGGCTGGTTTCATTACATTGCCATGATGACAGCATGAAACATACGGAGCAGATTCAGGCATCCCTGCTGCAGAATGCCCAGCCAAACCTCTTTCTTTCTTGTTTTTGGGGTTGTCCATTGGCAAACACAACATATAAAAGGACCTGGAAACACACATCCAGTCACTCCAGAGGGGAAGAGCTTCTACCAATCAGCCCTGGCTCTGCAGTGTGAAGAACCGTGTCACCCTGAAGCTAGTCAATCTGAATCTGAATTTCTGGCCTACATTATCACAATTTGTATACTGCTCTTGTGGTACCCAAACACTGCCATCCACCAGATGTGTGTACAGCTGTTGCACGGCAGATGTGCGGCTAGTGACCAGCAAGCTAAATGCAAAAGTCATACACTGAAAACTAAACTATGCGAATCTGCGGTTGTACACTGATTTATATCACTGTAAAACAAATGTATGTAATTATCCTTAAACACATACAGTGGGGTCTAAAAGTGATTCACATTTCTGTAATTAAAAACGATTTTTGTCAGCTTTTAAGTTTTGAGTAAAAATTTGAATGGAAACGTTTTTGGAAGAAGTCTCTTATGCTCTCCTAGCATTTATTTTACAACATACAGTAAACACAGTAATACTGTGAAATACTACAATTTAAAATAATTGTATATGTATGTTTTCGCTGTCACTTTTAATCAATTTAATGCATTCTTGCTGAATAAACTTCTTACAGAAAGGTAATTCTTACTGATAAATGGTAGTATATATGAGCACATGAACATAAATTGGTAAAAGCTATCAAAGTATTTTGTTAGTTTATGCCATCAAATGATTAATATTCAATAACTAATATTAAAAATGTTTAACTTTATTGTAAAGTAATACTGATGCGCTCATGAATTGGACACGGCTGCTTCTTTCATTAAAGGAATAACAACTTAAATTTGGTTCTGTTTCACATACAAAGCAAACATTTCTTTATTTTAGACTTTTCTGTGTCTAAAATTTGTCTTAAAATCCTCACAACTTTGTTCATTTCCACATTTAAAGAAAAAAAAAAAGGTTTTCACACTTTTGGACCGCACTGTATAAATAAATAGATATATATTTCTCTCTCTCTCCATATATTTTGCATCTTTATTGTCTTCCCTGTCCTCTCTTCTCCTCTTCTGTCTCAGTGTCATTGGACTAATCTGTTGATTTTTATCATGTCCAGATTATTCTATGAAAGTACCACCTGTGTCCAGTCATCTGATGAAGTGCACTAACTATCAAAATCTTTACATATACAAAAAAGTATGAATATAAACATAGAAAAAAGTATAAATATAAACATAGAAAGTTAAATATTATGGAAGTTCTAAGCGGCCATGCATTATTTTTTTTCCCTTCTTGTTTTCTCGTTATATCGACATAACGAGAGTTGTTTTCTCG